TAGATTTGGCAGAAGTGCGTGTTCGTACGCATAACGTCGGAGTCACCAATTTTTACGAGTCCAACCCGTGGGTGTGGCCAGAGCAATACAGTTATTATGCCGCGATGCGCAGCAAGCTCGGGACCCGCATGCGCGTCTATTTGCTAGCGTGAGGTGGGTGTGGACGCGTATAAGTCATGTGAGAGTGAGTCACTGGCCACTTGATTCGTCGCTTGGCCTATAGCAATTTGTGCTACCTTTGATCGGCTATTGCAGATGCAAGCCGAGAACTGCAATCACGCGACCTCTTGCATGGCATGGCGCCGGAGGTGGAGAGCACTACAACTCCCTCCCCCCCGAACACTGACCAAACTGACACCATGGTGAACGATGAAATGCATGAGTAAATCCGCTGCACATGCTAGTTTGAGAGCGTGACCATGGCGACAGATGTTGCTCGGGGTCACCAATTGTCGAAGGAGTTGCGTCGACAACGCGAAGGTTCCCCAAATCAGAAGTCGGGGAAGACAGAGTAGGCCTCAACAGCTGTTTACTGTGAGGAAAGAGGTTTACAGAGGGTTCTGCCAAGCGCTAGGGACCGGCTGCCTGTAGACAAGTTGTGTCAGTCTGCGTCCGCTCTTCGGACTGCGGAAAGCGTCTTCTGTATCCTGCAGCCAATCAATGAAACGGAGAGCTTGACTGGCTTGGAGCCTAAGCACATCTGAAGCAGCGAACCGACTACTTCTAACGCGTTTTTTGGCTTTATGAGCATCTGTGCCTTGTACCCGCATTGTCAAATTATGATAATTTGGTCGGACTCTGTTATTTTTAAATTTGTGTGGCATAAATTGACCAGATTATTGAACACATATGTACTTATGAACTATAAATGTGCATAACCTTTCAGTACGGTGGCAGTCTGCTACAGCTTGGTCTATATGCTAGACACCCTCCAAACGTAAAAGGGCGAAGTTCTCAGCCTGACCACTGCATTCAGTTATCAAGAGCCTGTAGAGTGTACCAATGGTACTTCCTGCGTTCCATTTGCTCTATTAGACTCATTAAATCTAGAGTCTCAGACGAAATTCCACCGACCGACTAGCTATACCAAAGTGCTTTTGGGCATACAAACTAGTACGTTCTGAGGGCGCAGAGCGGGTGCGACAGAGATACCGGTTTCTCCGCACTCTTCTGCAACCTGTCTGCCCTCGAAGGTTCACTTCTACTTCCCCAGGACTGCAGAACCGAAGACGAACCGCGGGTAAGGCAGTCAGCTCGCTCTAGCATTCGCACGCAATTTTCAGCGCATTACCGGAGGTGGTAGTGATGAAACGATCCCGTCCAACCCAATTTTGTGCTCGCAAAAAGCGTTCATATAGACTCAAGAGTTTCCCTGGCCGAAGACAAAATCAGCACGCGTCTTCACACCTGCCACGTCACGCTACGACGAAGCAGAAAAACAGCTAATTGTCGGACCTTTTCCCCCTCCGCCCTAGCTTATAATACCTGCTCTTTGAACGCCGTCGACGTTCTCCCCCATACTCATTGCTTATTGGATGTTTAAACTCGGCCCTCAAATTATTATAAAGGCCTGATGATAAATAATCGAAGGTGCACGCTCACCAAACTTGAATTCTTATACCTGCGCCCCAGATTGGTAGCTTCACTCGCAGCACTTAACGAGTGCTCGCAGCCCCTGGGAAATAATCTGGAACAACCTATTACCCTCGAGGTTATTGGGTAGACAAAAATGATTGCCACTACAGTAAATTATGATTTACTCGAAGAGCAGTTGAAAGAGATGACGAAAGAGTGAAAACGCAAGGGTAGCTGGGTGGGGTTTCGCCTACACACGATCCTTTTGCAAGTGACGTTGTACCGTTACTACCTATGTTCGATAAGGCTGCTGAGCCCTCATAAT